ACGCAAATGCTAAACAAATATGGGAATCCTTCCTATGATGTTTTCCAGGTGTTTAAGCAGTCTTTAAAACACCTCTCCCCACTCTCACCCCTTCAGTTCCTTCATCTGCCATTATACCTACCAATTTCAGTCCCTTCTACAACTGCTGACTGACTGAGATAGTGGTGTTGAGATGAAGGGGGGGGGATTTGCTTATATTTGTAATGTGTCTTTGAAATTTGTAGCGACTGCCAGTGCTGTGTAAAAAGAACGAATATCACATTAGGGCTGGGGAGATTGAGGTTCAAACCCTCATACAGACATGAAACTCATGGAGTGTCATACGCCCCAGCAAACATCTCATAGCCTCACCCATCTCCCAGGGCTGCTCCTAAGGTAAAAATGTGGGAGGGAATCCATGCACATGCCCTCAGCTCCTTCGAGGAAGGGCGGGATAAAATTAAAATATGTTTAATATTAACACCACCACGTGCAAAATTAGCATTCGTGGGGGCAATATTTGCGTTCTGTTGCCTTGTTAATTACCAAAAAAACACTTCAAGAGCAATAGAAACTATTATCTGCTACTTCCTTATAACTGTTATCATATTTTTATCCTACTCTTTCCTGCAAAGATCACAGGGTGACATACATGATTACTGCCACCGATCCATTTGATCCCTGTGAGGTATGTTTGGCTGAGAGAGAACAAGACACCTAAGGTCACCCAGTGAGATTCACTGCCACAAAGGGATCTGAACTTGGGTCTCACTACTACATACTGGTGGCCCTCACCCTCCATCCATTACTTAGAGATGATTTACTGGGGCTACTAGAGACACAGTGTACCTACAGTCACACGGAATGGCCCAACATATGCCAGACCACTGTCCTCATAAGAACATAAGAGAAGCCAATGTTGCATCAGGCCAAAGGCCCATCCAGTCCAACAGTCTTGTCACACAGTGGCCAAAAATATCAGGTGCCATCAGGAGGTCCAGCAGTGGGGCCAGGACACTAGAAGCCATCCCACTGTTGCCCCCCCCCCCCAAGCACCAAGAATACAGTGCATCACTTGCCCCAGCCTGAGAGTTCCTATCTATACCTAGTGGCTAATAGCCACTGATGGACCTCTGCTCCATATGCTTATCGAATTCCCTCTTGAAGCTGTCCATGCGTGTAGCCGCCACCACCTCATTCACTCAGTCCCCCAAAGGAGCACTGATCAACAGAACTAGATGTTAACACAGGTGCAATAACTCCTTCCAATTTGTTGGGAATTTCCACCCATTTCCAAGGATTGGTGTCTACATTTAAGACCTTCCCAGGCCACTTTTCCAAAGCACTCAAGGTAGCTTACATAGAAGAAAAACAAAAACAAAAGAACATTCAAAAAATAAAATCACAAAGAAAGCCACCTCATCTTGACAAACCTGGCACCAAATGGCATTTCAAAACATTCTGTGAGTACCTTGTTCTACTGTGCGGTCAGGATCTTGCAGCAGTTCAGAGTTCCTTGCCCACTCTTCAACATAAGAACACCAGGGAATCTTTAGTTAACCACTAGCTCCTGTCCTTGCAAGTGTCACCTGATAGGCACTCCCTGGAGATCACTCATTACACAGCACTGTACATCCGTTTCAAAGACATATGATATTATTGTACCTTGCGATGTAACATGTGAACAAGTCTAGTATGCCGAGATACGGTATTACATCTTTTGTCAAGCATTTCCATGTTTTAGGACACAGAGCCTTGAATTCCACCTAAAACTTTCATGCACAGATTACTGACCATGGAAGTATGAATTCCACATATTCCTCTTCCAGCTGTAGCACAAAATGCGGCTCCTGGGGCACTGGAGACCCCCCCCCAAAGGAATAACTGGACAAGTCAAATCAGCAAAAATCACCCCCAGCTGAGTATACAGACATTTTAAACAGGATCCAACCCACAGCAGTAGCATATTTTCTCCTGAATGCAATCTGATGTTACAAACCACACACCCATCATTTAAGGCAGCTACAAATGATAGCCACGAAGAAACAAATACATTTCATACAACAAAACTGACCCTGCAGATTTTTAAAAAAATCCTTACTCAGTTTCCATGCAGAGCAGTCTTCAATTTGCTTTAAAGTCTCAAAAGACAAACTCAGCCTCTGCAATCTATCATCGACTAATTGTTGCCAAGAACTCCAAAAACCATCATTGACAAGTAAATGTAAATAACACTCCTCTGAAGAACGAAAAATGTTTAATCTAAAAATAAATATTGCAATCCAGGCTTTGGCTTCCAATTTTGCTGTGGTAACATTTTTATCAACGGTTTTTAATGACTTTTATCCATAATGGTATATTTTACTCCTTGTACTTTGCATTTCTGATTCCTTGGTTATCTTCTGTATATTTGGATTGTATTATTCTGTACCATATGAACTATCAAACTTGTCTGCTTATGACCCCTTGGTCTCTGAGCATGAAGTATAGAACAAAGGAAATAAAGGAATATAAAATCACACATGCACAGGGGTTGCAGGGAGCAGTTAAAGTTTAAGGACAATTTTAAAAACAAACAAATTTTCAGTTGTTCTTTTGTTTGTCGGAGAACTAGAAAATACTCCACACTCAACCAACAAATAAGGCCTAACAAATTACATGAACACCTGAAGCTGCCTTATATTGGATCAGCAGAAACAAAAAGGGGAAAAAAACTGAACCTTACAAGAAACTCCAGAACCAAACAAAGGTTAGTGAAAAGGAGGGCCAATATTAAAACCTTTTCATAAAAAATAAAAAGAGGTACATGTATTTATTAATTATCACACATTTTAAAACATATATAGAGGCCCATTTACAACCTATATAAAATATACAAAATATACAAATATCAAGGGCTGACAAAGTTGACCTTACGCGTTTCGGCCAAATAGGCCTTCCTCAGAGGTCATACATATGTGGCAAGATGGTTAATAATTATATTCACATAAATACAATCAGACATATATACAAAGTATAGATTCAATCAGGACCATTAAATAAATTGTTCAAAAGTAAAATCGCCAGGCACAGGGTAAATATGCACATAAGACCTTTAAAGTGCAATCACTAGCCCAGTGATTATAAAATAAACTTGTGGTCCAAAAATTTCCTTCTTTGATTGTGTTGCCACAGTATTCACAAGTAAAAAGCATGGGTCCATCGAAGTCAGTATTGTCTGCTCAGATGGGCAGAGGCTCTCCAGGGTCTCAGGCAGAGGTCTTTCACACCTCCTCCTGCCAGATCTTTTAACTGGAGATACTGAGGATTGAACCTGGAACCTTATATTATTTATTATTTTGACTTTTATCCCGCCCTCCCTGCCCAAGCAGGCTCAAGCAGATGCTCTTCCGCTGAGCCACAGCCCCTCCTATTATGTAACAGTAAGTGGATTACTTGAGTTCATAAATCCACCCTTTTGTGCCCCTGCCAAAAAATGAGCATGGACCTATTAGACTGGCATTGTTTAGATAATAAGCATGTGTTTGCCTGCTTTTTGGTGCACCAGAACAAGTTACCTACAGCACAACTGAAGGCTTCCTGATTCAAGAAGGCCTGAATCAAGCTCCAATTTGCAATGATATCTGATCGCAGCATCTATGCAAGCTGAAATTTCTTTCCTCCCCACAAACCAGAGTTCAATCTCAGTTTGTTCCATCTCACCACCGCCACCCAGAGGGATTCTAAAGCGGGGTTAAACTGAAGTTCGGAATCACAGTTCATGAAGAGAAACCCGAGTCCAGTTTGTGCATGCATCGGCATGGAGACGTGGCAGGGCAAACTGGAGCTTGATTCAGGGATTCCTAAACCAGGAAACCTGAAATTGTGCCCCACGCAAATTGCCGAAGGTTCAGGCAAGTCTTTTTTCCCAAAGTGTTAAAAATATTTATGTTGAAAACAGATTCCAGCTATTAGAAGTGCTATGAAAACCAATTAAGAAGGCTTGCTCAGCAGAGAACAACCCACCCGTGAGTCTCCACCTACCAAAAAAACCCGAAACACTTTAATCTCTCAAAAACAGAAGACATAACAAATTACAGTTATTGCTAGCTTAAAGGTATGAAAGCAATAACAAACATCCACACAGCCCCTTTAGTTTAAGGATATTTAAGCAGGATTGCTAGGTAGCACTTACTGCACTTTTTAAAAAATAAAACAAAAAGGTTTCATGTCCAGAGTTGGGGGGACGTCTTTACCCTAAGTGTGTATTTAGTAGTTAAACTGGCATAATATACTCTTGATGAGTTTCTGAGCTAAGCCAGCATTCTATAACTCAGGGCTCGACAAATCCCAGGTGCCAGGACACCAAGAAATTTCACTGTAGCCCTTAGTATTTTCAGTAGTCATTTACTGTAAGCGCCTCTTGGTGATTTCTCAGTAGAAGTACAAAGAACATTTAGGGGAGGAACAGAGATTATGATGACCATCAGTTACCTCATATTTATTTATATGCTGCAATACTTTTCTATGGCAAAATGTGCAGTATATTTATATACCCTACCCCCCCCCCAACACTCAGGACCCACAGGCTTAATGATACATACAGTACAAAAAAATAATCATCAATTTAAACCATTGGAACACATCATTAATGCAGATAATTAAAACGGATAAGCCAGTGCCCAAGTCTATAGTCTTCAAAGTACCCCATAAACTGTTTTCCAGTAAAAAAAATCAGGTACTTTAACAGCAGGAGCAGGTTGCAGCTATATTTTTTTAATCTGTTGAGCTCTTTATATTATATTTCTCCTCTTATGCTGTTATCTGCGCTAAGCCCTTGGGAAAGGTCAACACAGAAATCAAAATAAATTAAGTTTAAGCTGGAAATTAGTGAAAAGGAGACAGCAAATCAATGTGCAGTCAGCCATCAGCAGTGCTACAAAGAAATTTCAGTTTATATATTTCTAAGTATGTATTTAGATACACAAACTAAATTAATGCAACATGTCACGTTGTGTAATGTATTAGTTATTTCAACATACCCCATTTTCAGTACGTTTCTCGACAGGTATATTAACTCCATTCCTCTGATTTTGAGTCAGGCGGCCTAGGAACAACACAGTTATCAAATTTACACTTAAAGGGTTATTAGACAACTTTTAAAAAATTCAAAACAGGATCATATTGAGCCACAGTTTATTGTGCTGAACGAGTGAGTGTCTTTCGTCTTTGTGGTGGGACTGGAATTTGTTTTTTCTAAATCTATCGGAAATTCATTTAACAGTGACACAATGACCACTGCAATAGACATTACCACAGGAGCAGTACTACTGTGGTGTAAATATCTAGTCTCACTACCCTCTGGTCCTGCATGTGTTTGTAGAAAAGAAAGAATGCTAATGCTGGGAAGACTTTGCTCACCTGTCCCTTCTTAACTAAAGTATCTAATGGCACAGCTCATATTGTAGGAATTCTGGTCAGACAATGTTTCCTAATAAAGGGCCTCCATTACCATCACGGCTGCTGCTGCTTCTTTAGGAGAAGGTGGGGGAAATGCCATTCAATTCCCTTCCCTGCAAGGAGACAGGGTTAGCTGGTGAGTTTTGCCCTTGGCTGTTGCAGCCGCTTATCGTGCTGAATCAAATAAAGTTGGCCCTTGATTATCCCTCCTAACAGTGTTGGCTCCTCTGTTCTGTGTTTTGTCTGCAAATCACTCCTTAACTAAGGCTTCCCTCCAGGCCTGAAGAGCCTCTCTATTGTTGTAAGGGCTCCCTGGAGGAAGAAGGCAAATGAGTTGAAATTGAAAAGAGATTTGTTAATTTCACTTCATCTTCACCTTAATACCATAGCAGACCTAACCCTGCAGTGGGGAGGAAAGCCTTATCAATTCCTCACCCCCATAAAAAAAAGCCGGAGCGAATGATCCAGTTTAAGTTAAGAACTATTCAGTCTCATTGATTTCAATTAGGGGATGTAAATACATGCTTAAATTGCAGCCATCGTAATCAGCAGGATTTAAATAGTGCAAGTCTGCCGAAGATTTGCTTCTGGATTCACAACTTCCCCATGTCAAAGTTTATCTTTTTTTTACAGCAAATGGATTTCACTACCACAGAACCAGGAAACACAGTATCGTTATGCAAACTAATGAACTGAACATCATGTTTTCACAGTTGGACTGATACATTTTCATTTCTGTGCCTTGAAAGAAACAGCAGTTCCAGCTGAGCACTAGGTAAAAAAGTATACGAGAGGCCAATTTCACAGGTGCCTCATAAAACTCCCCAATACAGCCATGATTCATTTTCTTCCCAGGTTTTATTTTAAAGACTTAACTCTGCTTAGTTTAGAGGGAAACCGGTTGTTTTCCCACAAACCCGAAGCCTGGCTATGTTTAAAACATTTCTGGTATGCAAGGTTTATTTTTACTTTTCAAAACTGCATCTTTATCTCAAAAGGACAAGCAATAAAGCATCAAGACAAATACATGAGGAATCACCGGTTACCAAACCTCACCTACTTTTGTTGTGATGAACTAAGGGGACATTTGTTTGATGTGTTCCGAGTCTTGCATTTTCCCAAACTGATATAGCAGCACCAAGCCATTATATATTTTCCACAGAAAAACCACTGCTAAACTGCTTTCCTTTGCCTGCTAGAAAGAGCCTGGTCTGGCTCAAGCTCTTATTGAAAGGGACACTTCCCAACTTTCATGTTTAGATGTGCGTGTGTGTGTGTGTGTGTGTGTTAAGTGCTGTCAAGTCACTCCCAACTTATGGCCACCCTATGAACCAGCGACCTCCACAATAGGGCCGTGGCTTCCTTAACTGAGTCAATCCATCTCTTGTTGGTCCTTCCTTTTTTCCTGCTGCCTTCAATGTTTCCTAGCATGATTGTCTTTTCCAGCGACTCCAGCGACATAACGTGGTCAAACTACAATAGCCTCAATTTCAGCTTCTGGGGAGAGTTCAGACTTGACCTGATATTTTAAAATGTATGCCTACGGGTATGAAGTGTGAATGTGACAAAGAGACGTTTGCATTTGTCCACCACAAAATTACACAATCACAAACCAGATATGGTTATTCAGTGCATATCCTCGCTGAGTATGTATTCTGTGGCAAACTTGGATTTACCTTTCTTTTCTTTTTTTGTCCCCCTGAGGGGATTTTTTATGGCATTTTATCAATACTACAAACTACAACAGAAAAAGGAAAGGGGACTATATTTAAAGGATAAAGAAAATATACCCACTACTATCTAAAAACCCAAGAGGGGAGATCATCAAAATAGCTTAATTAAACATCATCTCTTAATCCCGCTAGTCCCATTATGAACTGAGTCAAATATAGTATCTTTTTCCAAGTCTTAAGTTTAACTGTTAACAAGAGACCCCCTAAGCATCTAGTTTCAATACTTTCAAAGGCACAATTCAGAGTCCTTCAGCCTTCATTTCCCCTTGCCCAATCTCTTCCGCAATTTATAAGGACTTTTGGGGGTTGCCCCTTTCTCTGACGGAGAGTCCTCTCCGGAGGATCCCAAGTCCAGCTCGCCACTGGACTTACTGTCCATCCCTTCTTTTTCTTCCTCCTCTGGCTCCCCTCATTGGACTCTTAAAAATTCCCGTGCTTTCTGGACAGAGTCAATCGTTTCCTTTTTATCCTTGATTATGAAGGTGACGCCTTCTGGAGTTATCCAGTTGCATTTGTCTGGAGAAAAAGAGTCAAATCTTTGTATTTCTTTCTCCTTTGTCTTATTTCAAATGGAATGTCTTTTAAAATTCTGATAGTATTAACTCCAACAATCAAGGGTGCTCCAGATGCCGCTTTCAGGATTGCATCCCTCACACACCTCTTTGAGAATCTTACCACTATTTCCCCAGGCAGATTATTTTTCTTTATATATCCAGAATATGACCGATAGGCCACATCCATGTCGCTCATCAAAGCTTCTGCCTTCATATCTTTCACTGGGGCCAATATTTCTGTCATCACTTCCTTCAGATTCTCACCCTTAGTCTCTGGAATTCCCTGGGAGCGGAGAATCAAATTAGCCTTTTCCATTTTTAATTGTAGCAGCTGATCTTCTGTGGAGATTTGCTTCTTTTCTAGTTTTTGCACTTTCTTCTTCACCCTTTGGGCAGTGGCGTCCACTTCTTTCACCTTCTCAGCTGTTTGGCTCATCATTTTGAGTGTCTCGTTCAACTGCGTTTGCTGAGTGGTGATACATTGATTCATTGTTGACAGCTGCTCCTTGAGGTTATTCATCTGGTCCAGCAGGGGGCGAACGGATTCTGCCAAAGTCTTTGCCAGCTCGTTGGTTCCTTCCGGTCTTGGGCTCTCTATTCCTTTCGCTTTCAAAAGTTTTTCTTTATCCGTCCTCTTCCCCGCCATCTTTATAGATTGTTTACTTTCGCCAATATTTTAAAAGTCTCTGAATATGCACTTAAACGCCCAAACTCATCTTGGTAAGTCTCTCTCAACAGTTTTATCCACTTTCTCTTCCGCTCCCCCCCTCCAATTCGCTTAAAAGTTAATGCACATGGGAGGCGTCCCTCCCCCGCTCGCCTTACTTTCTGTTCCGTAGGGTGGGGAGCTTCATTTTAACCGGTACGCTTTAGTTGAACTCACGTTCATAATTGGTCCTCAGACCTCGTTTAAGCTCCGTTTCTGCCGCCCGATCTCCCATGCTTGACCCGGTCGGCATCACTTAGTTCCATTCGGCCTCATAGCACGAAGAACCGTCGAGACGGAGAAGCGCCTCAATTCGCGCCGGCGAAGAGGCGACTTCTCAAGAGTCCCATGGCCAGGGCCCCTTCACCCAGGTCCCTGGGGGGGGGTAACGATCCTGCGAACCCCCTCCTTCTGCTGGAGCGCAGCTTCACCCCCAGGAAGTCCGGGAGGTGAGTCTGCTAGCGCGCCGCCATCAACCGGAAGTCCGGGTTTACCTTTCATTTTGAGAGAATTTATTTTCATGAAAAACTGAGGGTCATCACTGTCAGTTAGCATCTGTCACTTAAGAACTGGTTTTATACATTTTATATTTAACTTTATTTATACCATGCCTTTTTCCCCAATGGGAACTCACAGTGCCTTGCATCACTCTCGTCTCCCCCATTTTACCCACACAACAGCCCTGTGAGGTAGGTTACGCTAAGAGTGTGTAACTGGCCCAAGGTCACCCAACCATATGTTACATATAAGTTGAGGATTTAATGATTAGGCAGATGGTTACTAAGCAATAGAGCTTATATGTTTTACAAACTTTCTACCTATCAAATGTGTGACCACTATTACTTGGCAGAAGTTATTTTTACCATCACCATGACTGTGAAAGGACCTTCACTTGGTTTACTGCAGTCACAACACCCAGGCTGCCAAGCTGCTTGTGATGCAGCCTCTTACTCTACAATAATGCTAGGACTGATTGACACAGTAATGACATTCAAAGGCAGAGGCTGGGTGGGAAGAAGGAAAGCACAATTTGGAAACAGGTGTGTCATAAGTAGCTTGAGAGCTGAACAACACGAGCTTACAAGCTTCTGCAGAAGAGTCTGAACACGGCAGGCTTGAAAAGGCAACACAAACATATAAACACATGGAAGAGGAAGAATGAGATGAACTATTTGCCTCAGAGCAAAGTCCAAGGGTGACTCTGGACTCTGTCTTCGGCCTATAAAAGCCACTCATGGGGCCTGGCTCTATCACACCAGCAAGGCTATCACCTGAGACAGTACAGGAAGAAGAGCACATGCAGTCCTGTACCTGAAGCATCAAATGAAACTGTCCATCAACTGTTTCAGTGCTTACACAGAGAGAGAGGGGGGGAGGGAGAGAACGAGGGAGAGAACGAGGGAGAGAACGAAGGAGAGAGAACACACAGTACACTTTCAATAAACTTTGCAATTGTATTTTACTGTAAAAAACAGCAAAACTTGCAAACGATCACTTAAATGCAGTGGAAGTAGGCTGAAAGTGCATTATTCATTGCGTGTGAAGGCACTCATTTCATTTTGCACAGTAACCGTCCATCTAGGCCTAGACAGCTAAAGATCATGAGCTGGCCTTGCCTTGAAGTTGGCTAGTTAGAATAGGGCAGACTGCTTGCGAGACTGAAAAAGACCATGATATAACAAGAGTCCTTTAAAAAGGTACTGTTCTTAAATGAGATTACGATCTATTTCCTAAAGATTGTGTAAAAATGAGTGTCTGAGACCCCAACTGGCATGAGAAAAATGACAAATCAACAATTTTCCCAAGTGTGTATGCTGACATTGCAGGCTAGGTAAATTTAAGATTTTTTGAAGTGTTTGTGAATGATCTATAATTAGATTGTGGGCAAAAGGCATCAGGTAGCAAAAAGGACTCCAAGCAGGAGAAGCATGTGTTTAAATCCTTTTTCCCCCCTGCATGTGGAATGGCAGTGCCAACTAGATCATAGCTCAGGGGAAAAAAACTGTGGATTTTGCTTGGAAGGCAGACAACACTCAGCTATAAGTTTCAGGGCATATTTTTGCACCGCCCCTCTGCCAACTCAAATAATCAAGACCCACTAAAACTGACATGGTTTTAAAACTGCTAATATAGGATGCAGGACTGTTTGCTTTTAAGATATCTGCTATAATTATTTTTAAAATTTACTATGTAACCGTAACTGATGGCTTACTTGCAATCCACTGAGATCACCATTTGGGGAAGGAGCTTTAGAAGAGAAGAAGGAGATGGCAAAAGTTATCAAGATGGCAAAAGTTACCTAAGAAAGTGGCTGAAAGGAAGGCGGGAAATAAAGACGTATCCTAATGAATAGGTGATAACGAAGGTAAAAGAAGAAACGATAACACCATTGTGTGGGCCGGAAACAGCAAGCAGGGAGAGGAAATGGCAATGATAAAAGTGAGAAAGGAACATGGTGGGTGGACAGTGGTGAAACAAAAGGGGTTTCTTTGGGGATGAGGACGTGAAGTGTATCATTAAGAGAGAAGTGTCTGTACGTGGCTATGATTCTACCAATTCTGTCGAGTCAATAATGCAATAATACTTGCTTTATATTTTAGGTGAATTTTAAGAATTGTTGGAGAGGATTAACTCCTGGTATAGCAACAAGCTTCAGAGAAATATACATACCCTGATCGCTGCTTTCTGTTGGCGATTCTTCATGTCGGAGAAAAAATTTCACCTCCTCCCTGCGAGGTCCCCACTTTTGTAGATGGTCATACATCATGTGATCAAAGGGAATGGGCCGTTCTGAATGTAGAAAGATCACATATTTCTTATCTGAGCGACTTGTTTGACATATGGTTTGCATGAGTAGGCAAAGTGAATAAAACGAAGCGTAACAGCTTATTTTATTGTTTAGTCATTTTGTAATTTTTTGGAAAAAACTGCAAAGTTATTGTGCTCAAATGGACAATCTAATCCCCCTCTTTAAAAACAGAAAACAAAAGACAAAACACAGAACATATTCTTAATAGCTCCCCCCAATATATGTTTTTTTAAACAAACATAAAGGACAAGTTTCCACAATTTTCGGAATCAGTAACTCAAAACAAGATCTTAGTGCTACGTAGGTCCATAACTTGACAGAGTCTTTCTTCCCACTGAGCCATCTGCCTATCACCATGTTTGCCTCTCATTTTCATTCTGCGGTCTTACGGAGCAAAAATATGACTTTTACTATCATCGTTCTCACCCAGGCCTGCACCTAGTTGTAGGCAGCCGCTCCAGGAGTTCACTAAGCCGCCTATTTTTGCTGCCTGCTGAGGACTACAAAAAACACAGGGCTTGTCAGACATCCTGACAGACTGTTAATCCATGGCTGGTGAACTGCATTTGTCATTGTGGGTCACACGTTATGCAGGCACATTTCATCCAAGTCACTGGTGAAGATACTAAACGATGTCACATTAAACAGCCTTTGTAGAAAGTCATTATAATACGCTACCAGATCACTGCACAGGTCACATCACACTACCGTCACAGTATCTGAACTGGTTTCGATTTGGTTTCTGAGCCCAAATACAAAGTGCTGGTTTCGGCCTATGCCCAAAACAGTCTGGGTCCAGGACACATCAAGGATTGCATTCTCACACCGTAGCTCCCCAAGTGTTTACGATCTTCCTCAGTGCTCTGTTGCAACTGCCTCTACCATCTTAGTGATTCTAGAAAGCCTATTCAGCTGCGGCAGTGAAATTATGGAACTCCCTCTGCAGAGAAATCTTGTCTGGCCCCTTTCTGTGATGACCTTCAGATGACAACTGAAGACAGCAGCATTTCAGAGAGCTTCCTCAGATTAATTCCTCCTTCCTACCAGAACACAGCTACAGCATAGGGCAGGATGGGGGTTAAGGCTAAGCAGGTTCCCCACTTAACTAAGATTTTTAACAAGGGGTTGATGCTGAGCTTTAGCCAGAAACCTCATTAAGTGCAGTGGGACTAGTCAGCCTTCATCATGGTGCCAGCTAACCTATTGCTCAATTCCAATTAGAGGGAGAAAGTGTAAGATTCTACAGTTCTAACCTCTTAGTCTCTCTTGGTTACAGCTGCTCTCTGACTGATTTTCTGTTCTAGCATGAATCGATAAGAAGCCAGCTCTCCTCACATGAACCTACACACACTCACATGAACCTACACTTTACTCTCCATGCCATCGCATCAATGGTCCTCAGCCAGATTGCAGACCTTTTCTGTCATGCCAGCGATCCTTCCGAATGGCTTGCTGGAGGAGGTGAGAAGAGCACCTGCTCTACTGACTGGCAGGAAGTGCTGCCAAACTTTTCTTTCAAAAGGCTCTCTGCTGAAGTGGGTACTGAACTGTCCATTCTTTAGTGAACTGCTAATAGGGCGCCTGAAGTTTTTGCTTATCTTTGTTGCTTGGCAAGTAGTTCTGGATGACGCCACTGTTTTTATGACGTTCTTGTTTTTAGATAGATGTCTTTATACAGTGCCTGTTTTTGGCAGGAGGTAGGTGGGGTTATCTTTTAAACATATATTTGGGCCCCATTTTAGAGGCAGTGTATTGCTTTGGGCCCCATTTTAGAAGGAAAGGCAGTGTATAATTATTTTTAATAAGTAATATTATTTTCCTAGTTATGCTGATCCTGAATTCCCTGGGCCCATCTTTTTTTTATGACAAACACTATATTTCTTTCTTCACCAGTTCTCTGACACCATGCCAATCTACCACATATTCCCTTAGTAAGCACTAATTTATTGTAATTAAGGAAATCATGTGACAGCTTTATATTGTGCAAAAAATAGGTTCAGTTCAGTTCAGTTCTGAGAACCTCATCCCAACTATACAACAAGCAATCAGTTCAGGGCTAATGAGCATATTTTTGTGCAAATACCATGAACTTGCCTGTAGCTATGTTCACAATCCATGCCATTAGGCTGGCTTTAAACAAAATGCCTCTTCCACACTGATGACTGCACATACACACACACACACACACACACACACACACAAAGCCTGCTGGATCAGACCAGCAGTCCATCTAGTACTGTTTGACACAGTGGCCAACCAGTTGTCCTGGAGCGCCAAACAAACTAGGCACAGAGACCAAGGCCCTCCTCCTGACACTGTCTCCTAAAGACTGGTATTCAAAGGTTTGCTATCTCCCTATATGGAAGCTCCCTTCAGCCACCATGGTGAGCAGCGACCAAGGGCTTAGCGGCCATTTTAATCCCACAAGAGATATGAAAGTGAGAAAGTACTATGAATGTTCACTAAGCTTGAGGGTATTGAGCTGGTGAAAGCCAAGGCAGGACTGTAGTGACTTTTCCTGAGAAGAAAAGTATTTCAGAATACCAAGGGACCGCTTACCATTTCCACGCCACACTTCAGAAAGATGGCAACTGCCTTCACCAGGTTCTTTGCAGAATTCTACTACATCTCGACATGTTGTTTCAGGTGTAATTGGCACTTCAGTCAAAATCTGTTCATTGTTGCTCAGGAACACAGTTAATATCATCTGAAAAAACAACATAAAAACCAGCTTTTTAAAAATGGCAGAGATTTTTGGCTGGGAAACCATTAACCAGCTTTTTAAAAATGGCAGAGATTTTTGGCTGGCAGAAGTGGTTCAAATATAGTTTGATACTTTGTCTTTACATAATTGTTTTTAATTCAAAGGACATTAAGAAGTGTACAATTTTTTTTAAAAAATCCCTTAGAAATACAAAACTAGAATGACTGCCTTTTAAATTCCTCCCAGATATCAATCAAAGAAAACATGTTTTGCGTGAATGTTCGTGGTCTGGCAACATTCCATAACTATAAAAACACCAGGCCTTAGTAAAAATGAAGTCAGAAATGATATCCAAAATATTGCTCCTGCCTCATGAACTGCAGACAACATTCTGGAAGGGGAAAGCATCCTAATACCTTGTCAAAAAGAGCTCGGGAGAGTGAAGAGGTTCTATGGTCTTCACAAGACAGTGACTAATATGAATTGGATACTACTTTTCAATGTGTAATGTTTTCTGTTAATTTTTTATGATTCTTCAGCACACACTAATAAGTGTGTAGTCTCTCAAAAGTATAGGGGCATTCGAAGAAGCACATTCTTGCACATCTTGTATTCCGATGTCAACGCAGTTAAAAGGGCTTGTGCAGACCCATATCACCTGTTACTCACCAAGCCACATGTAACCTACCAGCCATGTATTCTGGACTGCCAGGTCCCTAACAGCGCCCTGTTTGTCCATTCACAAACAGCAAAAGAGAGAGAGAGAGAAAGCTTTATCAAGCCATATGTAGATAGTCTGTATTAGGTTAGGCGGATCATAACTTGTGCAGGCCTGAGTTAGTGCAATAATATCCAAGAGCTACTTTTTGTCTGTAATACATGAAGCTGAATGAGTCCTCTACCAGTGTTTAAATATTGCAGACGCTACTTCAGTATTAAAATGTGAAGCAAACATGATTATACGCAGATGACTCAGTGGGAAAAAAGCCCTATGCCCTGTCAAAGCTACTGTTTCCACAGCGGAGAGCTACGTATTTGTTGTTGAACTTAGCATAGTCCAGGCACACAGCTAATTTTGTACCTTATTGTAACATCTGCCTAGCAAAGATGTTATATATGGAAGCATTATTAATTCTGGTACTGAAACCAAATTCCTATATTCTCACAATGGCAAAACTGGGGTAGGGGGATGACTGCTTCTTGCTGAAGGCTATAGGAATTACCAATAATGAACTCTTTGGGAATAAAGTTGCTTCTAATATCAAGAAAAGCACATTGAGTATATTGCCTCAATGCCAATGTTCCACTTTCATTCATAGGCTGGACCAAGACCCCAAGAGATGCTGCTTTAACTGTCATGATAAGAGCTTCTTTTTGCTCTGCTGAAGCAGCAGCATGGGGTTGAACTACCCATATCCTTCAGGTCACACTAGAACTTTAAGCAAACATTGGTGTGGCAGCCCCCATTGGCAGTGGCTTCTACAGGAGCAAAGAAGACAACTTCTCTTATGCCAAAACCTATGTTGGGTTTCTACTGGATTCTGCTGTTCTCGGTTTTTCTGCAACAAAACTTTGCCATCTTGAGTAGCACAACATATTAGAGAACAAAACATGTTGCATCATGTACATTTGGTTTTGCTCTCAACAGGAACGCTGTTACCTTCCCACCAAAGTGGTACCTATTTATCTACTTGCAATTTCTTGCTTCCGAACTGCTAGGTTGGCAGGAGCTGGAACTAGAGACGGGAGCTCACTCTGTCATGCGGCAACTCGGGTCTCGAACTGCTGAACTACCGACCTTCCACAGCCTGCAGTTCAGTGTCTTAACCACTTGAGCCACCGCAGCTGGACAGTAGCACCCATCATATTAGAGACTGAGTTGAGCGGGGCAGTCAAATTATTAAAAAGAACATGCCGTCGAGTCACAACGGACTCCTGGCCACCTCATCCATATGACATTCCAAGGAAGAGACGAGTAGAGGTGGTTAGCTATTGCCTTCCACGGTGCAGCAGCCCCAATCTTCCTCAGTGATCTCCATCCAGGTACCAACTGTGGACGATCCCTGCTTACTTCCGATGAGCTCTGGCTAAGCTAGGCTATTCCAGCTGCTCAATTACCTGTGCTGAGGCTTGAACAAGGGGGCTTCCAGCCCATTGTTCATGCTCATAATCATCACACCATATGACAGTTAACCTCAATTAATTAACACAATGAAACATGTCAACCTGCACACACCTAGTGTAAAAGTTACATCTGCTGATATATCTGCTAATGCAGTTCAGTGGAACTGTTTACTGGGACATCTCAGGGAGGCAGGAAACAAAATATTGTCGATGGGTGGCATATTTTCCTAAAACAGAACAGGAACGTGCACAAACATGAAATCTCACAGTGGTAATGAAATAATAGCCACCTTTATTGCTACTAATTAGGATAAAGATTGGCTAGGATCCAAAGAACTGCTCAACTTGTTCTTTATACCCTAAGGGGAGGTTGGTCGTGTACCTCAAGTGACAGCATCAACCACCACATAGCAAAAATTTCTTTTGAAACTTGAGGAGCTTTAAAATACTGTCTGTGATGTAGTTTGAAGCTCAAAGGAAAAAATTCAACACCCCCCCCCCCCCGGCCACTTACATGCCCTTGGGCATATTTGAAATCACATTTTTGGATCCCTGTCAATATGACTGAACTGCTTGCTAAATCTTGTTTTCCAGTAGCACTTCAATGCAGGCCAAAACAACCATTAATACCCCGACACAGAGAATCATGCCTTATCTATGACACCATCCTCTCTTTCCTTAATTCGCCCTCCTGCCCCTATATATAATTAGTATAAATATTCTGAGCAAAATTATTTCTTTCCATCCGCTCCATCTGAAGAAGTATACTCTGCCTCAAGAAAGCTCATGCTGGAATAAAAGTAATTAAGGCAGCACTGGATTTCTGTTTTGTTGTACTTCAATAGTCTAACACAGCTACCTCTCCAAAATAACATTGCATTTCCCCAATACCAGGGTAAAAACTTGGTCTTATCTTCTAGTTCTGCAATAATTCTCTCTCCTGCCTTTCATTCCAACCACCTCCTTTAAAATGTCGTACCATCAGAAAAATGGATTCTCTACAAACAAGCTGTCAAAATGCAGATACAGATTTTGAAATATAACTGTTTTAAACAGGGCTAGAAGAAAATCAGCTTGGCTTGGTTAAATGTAACAGATTTCCTTCCCTATTAAGATACATTTTATAAGGCATTATGTTTTCAGGCAACTCTAGTTGAAAAACCTAGGACCCTCATAAGAAGGGGTCCTCTATCCAACCACAGTTAAGTACTCTTAAGTACCCTTAAACTTTTGTAAGAAGGAATGGTGATTTCCACTAACTCCCCCTCCCACTGCAATCCACTGAGCCATTCTGTTCCTGGAGGGAGTCAACAGATTGTAAAACATTTTAATGGGAGTTTGTAAGTGGAAGGGCAGAGTTGCTGAAAGCTGCCACCCCTCTAAAGACAATTTAAGGGCACTTAAGACTTCAGAAAGTGGATGCATATAGGACCATAAAGGTAGTTACCTCACAGATATTTCTGAGCACATAAAGCCATACCTGATAAATTAAGTTGGCTACTTGGATAAGCAAGGCACATTCCAATTTTCATTGATAATGCACACTTCATCCAGTCTCTCTCCTCCCCGCACCAGATGGTGGGGTAGAAGGGGGAGCCAAGGCTCCTCTTGCTCCACCTGCACTCGGACATCATGACAAAAGGATGTCTTTAAACCGCAAGTAGTTATAAGATCTGAATGCAGAGAGTTCAAAAACCGGGATTTGTTGGTTGGCACCCAACCAGGATTTTAAGATAAGTTTTATAAACCAAAGTATGTACCTGCAGTAATTGATTGCCAGTTTGCTCAGACTTGACTGTGCAACTGAACAACAACAACAAGAACATAAGAACATAAGAGATGCCAATGTTGGATCAGGCCAAAGGCCCATCCAGTCCAACACTCTGTATCACACAGTGGCCAGAAATACCAGTGCCATCAGGTGGTCCACCAGTGGGGCCAGGACATTAGAAGCCATCCCACTGTTGACCCCCCCAAGCACCAAGATGACAGAGCATCACTTGCCCCAGAGTCCCTATCTATACCTTGTGGCTAATAGCCACTGATGGACCTCTGCTCCATATGCTTATTTAATTCCCTTTTGAAGCCGTCCATGCTTGTAGCCACCACCACTTCCTGTGGCAGTGAATTCCAAGTGTTAATCAGTGCTCAGTGGCACAGTGGAACAGTGGCACAGTGGAACAGTGGCACAGTGGAACAACAACTGCTCAGTGGCACAGTGGCCCCTGCAGTGGCCCCTGCAACTGTCTGGCCATAGAAATGGTAGTATAGAGAGGACATCATCTCTAGCAGGAGCAGGCAAACTAGGCTTTGCACCTAAGCAACATTTATTAACTAGGGCCCCGGTCACACAGAGGATTTGCTGCGCTAAAGGAACTAATGTCAGGCAGATTTTCGGGGCGCGATCACTGGGAAGCGTAGTGCACCCGTGGCCAACCTGTGGCGTCCCACTGAAAATGCGCAGTAAAAAAGTACCACGGAAAGTGTACTAGTATCCGGAAAACGCGGGGCATATCCCGTGGCATCTGGTGCCCATCCAGATCCTGTCACAAACCGGATGTTTTTCATAAGTGCATGCACACAAACATGTAACTGAAAGCAGTGCTGCTCCGCGGAACTGTACATGCGCACAAACACGAAATGCTTGCCACGCCGCTTTTTTGCCATGCTCCTGCATCGCCATGTGATCGCCACCTAACAGCCTAAGTGCGGAGACTTGGGGGACCGTGTGATCGGGCTACTGCGCTTTATTTTGCTCCGGGCCTAACACCCACGCCTCCCCTCCCCGCATTACCTGGCCCGTATATAGACTGAACAGAGTTAGTTTTGAAAAACACATTTTATCATAACTTCTGTGTGAGGCTTGTTCCTGCTCCCTT